GCTCCCGGAGGGAGGCGGACGCGGCTGGCAACCGCGGCAGCGGGGAGGAGGGGCGGCCGGTCCCGCCTGGTCCGGTTCGGTCCTTGACCCGGTTCCGCGGCGTATTGTCTCGGGTGTGGCCTTCTCTCTGGCGGGCTCAGTTTCCTCTGTCTCGGGTGGGCACTGGACCCGCCCATCGGCGCTGCCGGTGGGTCGGAGTGGCCAGAGAGGGCTTCGCTTGGCCTATAGGTAGAAATCGGCTCTCCATAAGTACCTTGGTAGGGCTAGATGGTGAAGGGAAGGAGGGCATCCCACGACCTGGTTGTCAGATTCAACAGAGGTTCCAGAAATGAGCAGGGTGGTGCTGAACAGTGAGGCGGCTGGTGGGCCTGCTGCCCGGGCTTCCTAGCTGGTGGGGCAGGAGCTCGGCAGTGGGAGAGAGACTCGGTGGAAATGAAGAGCGCTACTAGTGATGGGGGAGCTTCAGGAACCTCACCTGGCCGGAACTACCTGGCATTAGGTACCCGAGATCAGAGATGGGCTCCAGAGGTGCTCAGTCAATAAACCTGGTAGGCGAGAGACCCCTGGGCACTGGCATGCTATGCTGTACGGTACTGGGGTGTGGACCTTTTGATGTCCTCGTCTGTCTTTAGGCTGGGGAGGATAAATAGGTGTCCTAGTGACCTGTAGTTCTCACTTAAATGCCTGCATTGGGACTTGGATTGGAACTGTCAGTGAGGAGTTAGCCTCACCTTGAGCTGATTGGCCTCGCACAGGTGACAGGGGCCCTATTTCACCAGAGCACATGGGAATGCTGATTAAACAGAACTTGATGAGACTGGTAAATAACAGGCTGGAGTCTTTGGTGGAGAACCTGAAAGCCGGTCCCACCCAGAGGAGGAACTAACCAGGCCCATTGCAACTTGTGGAATTTGGAGACCGAGCAGGCTGTTCAGAATAGCTGGTCTGTTCCCAAAATACTGCCTTAGTCACAGTGGGATTTTTCGAGAAACGGGAAGTTTGGGTAAAACTCGGGTTTTACCCAGAGGTTGGACGTATTGAGGAGAGAAAGAATTCCAGGGCCACTGCAGGTAGTCTGCCAGCCTTTAGATAGTATGAATAATTATTCTTGTTGTAACTTTCTGATTATGGGAAGATTTGGGAATTGAGCCTGGTTGTTCTCCCTGTGGCATGTGAAAGTGATACAGATGATAGAAAAATTGCTGGCTGCTTTAGTCTTACGTGCCTTAGACTATTAGAGGGCATGCTGTGTTTTCTACCCTGCACGGCCTTGGCACGTGTTTTATTAGAAGTCTACAGCTGACTTCTAATTAGATTACAAATTAGAATCTGCACCTTGCAGAGCAGAGCATACCCGCCCTCTGCCTCCGAAAAGGCCTCAGTGTAGCAGAGAGGTATGAAAGCATCAAGCACAGTACTCGTATGTGGGGAAGGCCTGACTCTTGCAAGGTCTCTGAGCAGTGCAGCTCCTCTATGTGGGGTGGCTTGTGCCCTGGCTTCATTTTCCATGAAGTCTCTTATGACCACTAGGGGACTGCCTACTAAGCTATTGATCGCTGCTTTTAATTTTCCCTTTTCACCGCTGGCCTTACTGACACCGAAGGTGAGGATCTGCTGATCCACATGTGGTGCGTCCTGCACCCCTCCCTGACCCCCAGTGGTAGGTAGGCCTATAATCCTGACATTGTCAGGCACCCCTGATGTCCCAAGGACTGAACACATAGCTGTAGTGATATTTCACTTGTATTTTATTAAATAAAGCTTGCCTGAAGATTAGAGAGTAAAACAGCCACACTGGCCAGCCTTACAGACCAGGCAGTGGTAGTGTACACCTTTAGTCCCAGTAGTCACACTAGTTTGTCATAGAAACCGGGCAGTACATTCCTTTAATCCCAGTGGTGCACACCTTTAATCCCAGATCTAGAGAGAAATATAAGATGGAAGGAGACAACTCACAAACACAGTCTCTTTTTGAGATTCCTAGAGGCAGGATTGCCATTTCCAGACTGAAGTCGAGGTTAGAGCCAGTGGGTGGCTATTTTGCTTTTCTGACCTTCAGATTGAACCCCAATTTCTGTCTCTGAGTTTTTATTAGTTTTTATTTAGACAAAAGGGTGTCTTTTAATAAATAAGACTTGCCTGAGGATCAGAAAAGTAAAACAGCCACACTGGCAAGCCTTACTGATCAGACAGCAATGACAACACCTTTAATCCCAGTAGCCACACTAGTTTGCCATAGAAACCAGGTGATTGTGGTGCACACCTTTAATTCCCAGGGTTGTAAAACGGGAGGAGAAAGCTCTCAGACTCAGTCTCATTCTGAGATTCCTGGAGGCAGTATCTCCATTTTCTGACTAAGGCTGAGGTAACAGTCAGTGGCTGACTGCTTTGCTTTTCTGGTTTTCAGGTTGAACCTTAGTTTCTTTCTCTTGAGTTATTATTAATTGTGCTTCACATAGTGGTAGACTTGGACTTGGCCAGGGTGGCAAACACTACCTAATGACCCTGTTTAAGAAATTTCTGACAAGTTCATTCCAATTGGGGGCCAAGGCAGCAAAGCATTGCTATGTTCAGCTGTTTGGTAGCTTGTGGGCTGAATGAAGCCTCCCTGGGGGACGTGACTTAGCAGTTGAACCATAGCTCTATGCTTGAAGTAAAAACTTGAAGATGTCTGTGTTCATAGTAGGCTCATCTCTTCATGTAGATAACCCTGAGGAGAAGGCATTGTAGAGTGGGGCTGAAGAAACAGGTGCTAATGTGCTTTCAGATGTCTCCCAACTCTATTGAGGTATGGCTGAACTGCCCCTTCACTTCGTGATTGATCAGTGTGTAAACCTGACACCATGACCATACTTAGCACATCTTCTGGAGGTTACTGTGGTGAGTGCTTCTTGTAGCTTAGTGACTTGGACACTCACCCTCCACACCTGTTGTTCCAGGGTCCATGTGGGCATGCACCTGTGTGTGGGGGGAGAGATAGAGAGTGAGAACGAGCGAGCTGTGTTAGGAATCTTTCCCAGATTTCAATGCTGTGAGTTTATGCATACTAACATGCAATACAAGAATTGTTTGGTATATTTAGACAAATACTACTATTTGTTTTGTTTTAGTATTTTTATTTATTTTGCTTGTTGGTACATAATCTCCCTTCGTAGCCCAGACTAACCTCCAACTGATAATCTTCCTGCCTCAGCCTCCCAAATAGTGTTATAGGTATGTGCCCCTGTACCCAGTGTGACCAGCCCTCAGTATGGCAGGGCATGCACAGTTTGGAAGATCGTATTCACTGTCTTGTTTTTGTGATATGTGGTACAAAATGCAGTCTGACCCTCACTAGGGATACACAAAAGGTGGCATGAGAAACTAGGCAAAAGACCTGGGTTTGAGGGTTTTGTTTTTTTGTTTTGTTTTGTTTTAAAAATACCAGAGAAGAATATCCTTGTTTTCAGGGTCTTAGCCTCAAGTTTGATCCCCTCAGATAAAGCTTTTCATCTGGAAAATTTTAGATCCTTTTTGGTAGAAAAGTTATCAGACCAGTGTTGAAAAGAAGTAATTTTAAAATAAGAAAGGAAGTTATGCAAATTGAACTGTTTACTCTTGCTAGAGTCCCTCTCTGAGGGTGTCAGGTATGAGGAATTCTGACTGATGGAAGTGTGCTAGAAACAGAAGGCAGACTCTGGAGGTAGGAATTGCTGACATCTTAGTGTGACTTGTGCTCTGGGTGATGCCTTCACACAGGTTCATCAGTTAGAACACATGAAGCCTCTTACAGGGAATGCTGGTCATGGAAATGGGGAGAGGAGTGCATGAGAAGTGCCTGTACCTTCTGCCCAACAATTCTGTTGCTCCAGTGCTGCTTTTAGAATAAACAATTGAAGGCTTAAGGAGTGGGTGGCAGTTCTTCCATCCTTTATGCAGGCAGTCGGGAGCATTACCTCACCTGCCTTTGGATTTTGCTGTCCTTCCCAGGGAGTTTGCAGCAGGAGAACCTGAAAGTCACAGGGGCTGGAAGCAGCCACTGAAGACAGTCCAGGTTGGGGTATTATAATTTTCTCTTGATGTTGACATTGCAAATCAGTAAATGCAACAGTCCTTTGAAGGCTCTGTACACTTCCCTCTAAGGGAGAAGGAAAGCAAAGCATCAGATGTCACTTCTGCCCTAGAGACTTCTGCTCCCAGGCTACACCTTGATCCCATTGCTGCGGGGACAGGTACTTCATTTGACACAGTGGGGTTAGTGAATGAGTGCCAGTTGGGAAGCTTGGAGATGGGTGGGGCTAGATTGTGATTGAACTCTGTGCCTAGTGAGTATGAAACTTGTGGCTTCCCTAAACTTACAAAGAATCACATGGCTTATTTAGATTTATTGTGAAGGAATCCAGTTTTGTTAATCTTTGTAGAAATTTTCTGCACATTTTAGAGAAAATAAACCCCTGTCTATCTCTCCTGTCTAGTTGTATGGAGACATGGTCCTTACTTAGCCCTACTCTTGCCTGTCTTCCAGAAGAAAGGTGGCAGTAATGCTAACGCTGGCAAGCAAGCTGAAGCGGGATGATGGTCTCAAAGGATCCCGGACATCAGCCTCCACATCTGACTCTACTCGACGGGTCTCTGTGAGAGACAAGTTGCTTGTAAAAGGTAAATCATCCTCCATGGAAGCTGGCATTGTACCCTGTAACAAAACAAAGCTTGCCCAGAGGCTCTTTGAGGATCGTTATAAAGTAGCCTGTTAAATGGAAATACTTCTTTAAAATGATTTTAACATATGAGTATCAGTCGGGTATGCCTTTAATCCCAGGACTCTGGAGGAAGAGGCAGGTAGATCTTGGAGTTTAAGGCCAACCAGGTCTATAAAATGAGTTCCAAGACAGCCAGAGTTGTATGGAGAGACCCTGTTTCAAAAAAATAAAAATAAAGGGAAATTGTCACTTACAGAGGCAGGATTTATACCAGACAAAGGATAGGATTGTGATCACAAGGAGATGGTGTTAGAACTGTGATGTCTGGCACCCCAGGAATATTCTTTGTTGGCGTTGCTGCTGTGCTGTGGAAAGAAGAGACAGTAGGAGTTGGCTGCCTGAGGCATGTGGGTGCTGCTGTTACTGTCCTCTTTCCTGTGGGGTGCACAGCAGCTTCCATCCTGGAACAGGTGATGTCTTGAGATCCTTTCCTGCTTCATACAGAACACAGCCTAAGGAGTCTTGTGAAAAGCTGGTGTCTTCACAGAATTATCATAGTGCACCTGCACACCAACACAAGTACTGTATGAACTGGTAATAATGTATATTGTAATTTTGTTATTAGAATTCATAGAATTATTAATAAAATTGTGTTCTAAGGACATAGTCGCTGTCCATGTTTGTAAAGGAAAACTATGTTTGATAAAGGGTTTCCTTTTGTGTGTGTGTGTTGGGGGGGTATCCGTATAGCTTGCATGTTCCTGTGTACACGAGAGGGGCAAGGGTACACAGTTGTACACTTATGGTAGAGGTGTATACATGTGGATGCAGAGGTTGAAGGCCATGGGTTTGTGCAGGTTTAACAGAGTCTCTAATGGACTTCCTGGACTTAAATCTTGACCAGCTATGGATGATTGGTTATAAGTAAAAATGTTTTATTTCATTCTTGTCTCTGAGTCCGGAACAACCTAGATTGCAAGGAAGGTGCCCTGGGGCACCTTACTTACTTGGAAGCCTGATGATGACATTTGACTTTTCAGAACCCTCGAGGTTCCATCTGTAGAGGCAGCCCAGAGATGGCAGAGCCAGGTTGAGGAGTTTGGGGGTGTAGTTGCAGTACGAGAAGAGTGTTTTATTGCAGTAAAGACGTCTTGACATATCTGCTGAGCTTTAAACTGTCCCTTTTTCACGTTGCCACCATCATGGTTAATAGCAGCTGTGGTACACCAAGCACTTGAGGCCAGACCCTAATTGTGCTGTTATAGCAAGATTCTATATTCCTTGTAGAAAATAGGAGTCTCTTTCTCATGATCTGGAGTCTGGAAGACTAAGGTTAAAAAAGCAGTGTTGGGCTCACTGATAAAGGCACTTGTCTCAATGTACCAGGCCCTGGGTTCCATCCCCGCTGTCAAAAAAAAAAAAAAAAAAAAAAAGCAAGTATTGGTTTCTGGTGAGAATTCTACTCAGCTTCCAAGATGTAACCAGGTTGCTGTATCCTAGGAAGGAAGGACACTGGTCTCTTCAGAAGGAAGAGACAAGAGTTTAAATGGCTCTAAATCATTCATGTGAATAGAGTCATTATAACTTATTCACTCCAAGACACCACCTCTTAATACTGCCACATTGGGGATTGGGTTTTAATATGAATTTTGGGCACCTCCAGACCATAGCAGGTATTGTGGGTCAAACCATAGCAAGTACTTTAGGGATAATTGCCAGGATGGTGCTTCATTTTCCACCTGAAGAGCTGAGATTTAGGCTAAGAAGTCTGCAGTAGTTGCAGCAGGATGGCCAGACCCACATCTTAGGGGTGAGGCAGGCGCTAGGATAACAAATTAAACACTGGTTCAAAGAGCAGAAATGCAAGTTAGCATTGAGAAAAGAGAGTGTTGACAGTCTCCATCCATCCTGTGTCTAGAGACTCACCTGGGAGTTTTCAGATAGCTCTAGGGTGATCATAGTGAAAAACCTTTCCAGACAAAAATTCCATTAGGGACTTTGAAAAGGTCTGAGTTTAGCAAGATTGCTCTAATTGGCATTGTTGTCCTTGATCATAAAGTGGAATTCTGAGAAGATGTGTTTCATGAGTATGGACAGGTTCTAGGAAACTGTGACTGTCTAGGACTTGATACTAAGTGGGAGGCAGGGCAACTAAAACTGTCTTGAGACAATTCAGTAGAGGGAAGTGAAGAAAGTAGGCTGAGGGATAGTCACACTTGAAGGAGAATGTCCCAGTATAGCCTTTGCTCAGTTCTTAGAGCTGTCACCAGGCTGGCAAAAGGTCAGGTGGGGGCTGTCTTGGAAGGTATGTAGCCTGCGGCGGCAGTCTATACAGCCATAAAATCTAGAACAAAGGCCATATGTCCATAGCCCCAGTGAGAGGGCACCTGGGCAGTGATTCGCAGAAGACTGACCTAGAGGACACTGGCATCCCAAAGAGCCAAGAGAAAGATTGTAGAAAGTAACAGGACAAAATAGGTGCTTTTGTAGATAGAGGAGGGACTCATGGGGTCCTGCCACTTACTGGTAAACTATAGGCTGGGTGTCCACTCCTGTCCTCCTTGAGCCCCGCCAGGCATCTTAGAGCATCTTAGGGATAATGTGTCTATGTGTGATTGGGCCCTCACAATCTACCAGGACTCCCACATGCCCCTGTGCTAATGTGGCTCCTGATGGGGAGAGAGGTCCCCAACTCCGTTCCAGTGCTAGTCTCCCATTCTAATCTCTGGTGAGTGGGTCAGGGTTCAACTTGCCACATTGCCAAGGTTGTCACAGCATTTGACAGCATATGAATCTGAGGGGTAACCTAACAAGGAGTCCTGCTAACAGTCAACTAGGAGGGCAGCCATCTGAACACACATTGCCTTATGTGTTCTGTTGAAGGTTAAACACCAGTGAGACTGTTCAGGGAACCTGGATAGTCGTCATAAATATATCAAACAGCCTAAGGGGGCAAGAGGGCCTGTTGAAGCCATAGATAGGCGCCCAGTGGGTGGTATGAAGTCCAGGGCTACATTCTTAGCAATATTAGGCCTTTGTTAGAGGAACCGTTTTTTCAGGGTTGTAGCTTGCATTTTAGAGTGGCTCTAGAACACCTTCGGTAAGTAAGTTATATGTATTCATGCTCTCTAGAGGGCCTGAGGCCCATGTCCTGGGGATGAAAAGCTTAGCTTCCTATACTTACTGATGTCTGAAACTGAAACTCAGTTCAGCTAAGAAGCATGTGCGTCTGACTAGACTGGCCGTTTATCTTAGCTTAGACTGCTATAACAAACAGTATAACCACTGCAGATTGGGTAACATAAACCACACATTTCTCATAGTTGGCTGATTTGATGTCCCAGATCAAGTCCTAGTGAGGTCTTCTTGGTTTGTAAACAAATGGCTCCTTGCTTGTGTCCTCACCCAACAGAGAAATGAAGGAGGTGCCTGGGAGAATGCTTCTACTGACCTCATGTGGGAGGTCTGCCAAGACTGCCTAATGACTGCCAAGTGCCACTTTATTAGAGCATAGAGCTTCAGTGTATGAAGGGAGAAGGGACACAAATTTAGGTCATAGTACTTTTGGGATTCTTCTCGGTCACAGGCCACATGAGGAGAAAAGTTCTCAGTATCTCAAGATATTCACATACAGCAGGGGCCCTGCAAGTATTTACATGCACTACATTTTACAAACACTTTTGTGCTCAGTCTTAGGGCACAAAGTAGGGCCAGGGCAGGCTGTGTAATTGCCACCATGAAGGGTAGCAGATCTGGAGGACACAACTAGAGTCCAATGTTGTGAGCTGCCCAATGCAAGAGAAGGTGAGTGTGTGAGGTGTGGGGGCCATTGTGGTAACTGTGAATTTTGTAATCTGGTTATGATCATACTTGCAGTGGACTCTGGTTTGATCCTCACATAGAGGAAAAGAATTTAATTTCTCAGAAGGAAGTTATGCAGCCACTGAGTTAAGCAAGGTGCTAAGTGCCTCCCAGAAATGCTAAGCCACCTAACAAAAGAGGTGTTATCTTGTTAAAGCACTGTGCAGATTTGAAGGGGTGTTTTGTGTTCTGCACTGGGCTAGACAAAGTGCCAGGCGTCTTTATTGAAATCCTATGTCCCAAGGATTCCATTCCTTTGCCAGCTCTGACAGGTGGAACAGAGAATTCCTGATATGGTCAGGAGGCTGTGTTTGGGGCTCTCTTCAGCCCTCTTCCTTTCTTGGGTGAGTTACTTACACTGAATATGATGAATATAAACAGAACCTTAAATTTGTTGATGTCATGTAAAATTAGAACTTTTTACTAAGTTTATGTTTGTTTATAATGATATTTGATCATCTTTTCATGGGCAGTCTGAATGACTTGACCTCAAGATTCGTACATTCAAATCTAAACATTTGGGTGATATTAGGACATAAATTATTTTGGAGGTAATTCATGGGGGTAGAGTGGCTACAAATGGAGATCTTTTCCTACTGTTTGCACACACAACAAGAATATGCTATCTATGAGGGCTCTGAGCCCTCACCAGATTCAGAATCTGCTGGTGCTTTTGGTCTTGGCAGCCAGCTTTCAGAATTACGAAAAAGAAGTGTCTGTTTACAAACTACCCACGCATAAGATATTTTTGTTATGATACAGACCAAGAGTTAGAGAACAACACTAATTTAGGAACCTGGGCCTACTTATGATTTTTAATGATACTGGAGTGATTGGGGACTGGAACATCCAGTGTTTTAGAATCCCTATAGCTACTGGATTGTGGGGAGAATATATAGAACTCAGATTATTTTAAAAATCCCTAAATCCGTTATACAGCAGTCTTTACAGACTAATAATGGACAGCTATTTGAGAAGAGCAATGGAGAGGGATGGCATCAGTTTGATAAAATTGTCTGAAAGGATTTGTGTTGTTGAATTTAATAATCAGAATCTGTTGAAAAGTTATGATAGATTAATGTATAAGATATCTCTCCA